ATAAGTGTATTTACCCTGCAGTTACAAATTTACTTTGATTTTCACCTTAAGAAAATATTCAACGAATGGATATAATATAAATCAATTCTGATTCATAGAAGTATATTTCTGTGGTAAATATGGAAAAGGCAGTAATTATCACCCACACTATCCCTTAGAATGGCAGTTTCCCATGAATGATGATTTCGTACATTTAAAGATTCCATTTAAAGTCACAGTAGGGACCTATCTAGATTCTGTGCCCATAGGAATTAGTGTGGAATATGTCTCTCAAACAATAGTCACTGCTAATTTCCTGTAAGTTTGGAACATAATGAAAGATGCTTGTTTCAGCAGAGCCTTCATGGTTAAGAGACAGTATGACAAAACTGGAATTTTCTCTTTCCTATTGAATTCATTTAGCAATAAGCAATTAAGTGTATTATGGAGCAATCAAGACCCACTGCTGAGGTACAGACGCCACTTAGCCAGTGATCCACACACAGGTAGTCACCCAGCAGACATATAGATGCACACCTACGTTCTCACTGATTCAACACTGTCTACATGTGCCAGGGAAGTTCCTTGGGGCTGGATGTGAGTGTTAACACTCAGAAACTGACTTAGGACACATGATTAGGCTTTGCTCTGCTCCTCAAAGACAACAACCTGTTGTAACCTGCTTTTGTTTCTTCTCAAAGAACTCTAGCAAACCTGTGCTTAAACTAATGTGCCATTAATGCAAAAGAAGTGATTAAGGAAAATTAAAACTGTAAATCACATGTATTTCTTCTATAAGGGCAGCCAAGGGTGAAAATATTTAAGGTTTTTGTGCTTTCTATGATTTAAAAACATTTAGCTGTTTTGGTGTTACAGAGAGTCTATTAGTCTCAATGTTCTCATTGCAGGCATATAATTCCTATAGGTTGTTCCAAATAAAATGAATTGCCAGCAGATACGGGTTATTTAAAATTTATGATCTTAAGGATTTAAGTGTTAATGGTATTGGCTACTATGTTTTATGGTTGTGATTCCATTGTAAATGCTATACATAATGTTAGCCGGGGGGCAATTCTTTATGGTTCAAATCATCAGATGAAATTCCCCACAATTTTATGGCTTATGCTTTGAGTGACAATCTTCACTGATAAAGAAGGTTAAGTTCACTGAGGGTTTAAGATGCATTTCAACTCTGTGCAGTGTTTTCAATGTTTTTTTCCCCCAGCTTTTATCAAATATGTAGTAGTTCAGTTATCATAGAGAAATGTAATACCTTCATATTATTTTCTACTTAATCAAGAATAGAAAGGTCTTAAATAGGTGACTTACATAAATTTATTTTATTTTTACTTGACTCATCTATAAACAAATCCAATCACATGGAATGTAATATTAGTATAATCTCAGCAGAGATTTATAGGATCATCTCAAGGGATATATTGTAGGTCCAGTCAGTTTAAGATAAATTCCTGGTGATTGCAAAGTACTTCTTTAGATCAGACATTAGACTCAATCAATATTTTTCCAAATTTAGAATTGAATGAGTATGCACTTAAAAATTTGCATTCATTTTCATTTTTTATGTTAAAAAGCACTCTTAGGCACTTTTGGTCTAGGGATGAACATTTACCCCAATAGTACAGCCCTCTGTAGCCCTTCGAACACCAGGTCTCTTGGAGCTAGTGAACTGCAGTTACCAGTTGTCAAATCCCTTGGTGTGTCAAATCCCTCAGTGTGCTTGCTGGGAGACCCATTGTGCTTTTGTTACTAGAAATGTACAGATACCATAGATAAGGAAAAGAGGAGGGAGGGATTTAATCTTATCAAGTTTCTTCAATCACCACATGGGTAAAACTTATATTCTTTCATTCTTTTAGTCATTCAACAAGTATTCACTGAATACCTACTATGTGCCAGGCATTGTGCCAGGGTCTGGGAATACAATTGGTACACCAGAAATGGGCCCTGAATTCAACAAGCTTAAAGGGTATTGGGGGACAGAAACAACTAAACAGGCTACTAAAATTCAGGGTGGTGAGGGGGAAATGCAGCCTACTTTGGCACATACTACTGTTGAGGAGTCTGGGTTGGTACCGGGGGAACTAAGATAGGCAGAGGGTGACAGGGGATTTTCCACGTGGAAGGGAGAGGTAGTGGAGAGGGCTTTCCTCGCTAAGAGGACACTGTGCAGAGGTGTGGCAGGGAGGGTACTGAGAGCTCTCTGTGTAGCTGGAACATAGTGGGTGAGGCAGGAAGGGCGAAGAGATGGGAAGCTGGAGAGATCAGCTGGAGCCAAATCACAGGTTTTTTGTAAATTATGTTAAAAAGCTTTGGATTTTGCTCTATGGAAAAAGTTTTGAGCAGGAGGCATTATAAAAGAGTTGGTAGAGCTTTTATTGTGGTTTGCTTTAAGTTGGTTTGCTTTTATTGTGGTGTGGAGACTGGATTGGAGAATTGGGGAATTCAATGAACCAAGTGGTGGTCAGTGCAAATCAGGCAATGGGTAATTTCCTGTCAGAAGGGAGGATTGGCAGTGGCATTTCTACCAGGGCGGAGGACTTTGAGATTGTTGGGAAGATGGAAATCCAAAATGATCCTTGGGAAAGCTGGGCAGATGATCGAGTCATCTAACCATTCCAAGAGCAGCAAAGGATTATCTAGCAGCTGTGCATAACTTACAAAAATTAAACATGAAAAAAGCAGAGAAATGCTCAGCCACCATCTTGGAGTGAAAAGACAGGAGAAGGTGTTCATAATACCTTGAAATCCCCAAGTATCATCCATTTACAATTACATCACCTTCATTTGAATTTTGCTCTATGGAAAAAGAATTGTACTGACCACCACCTGGTTCATTGAATTCCCTAATTCTCTAATCCAGTCTCCACATCACAATAAAGGCAAACTTTACCAACTCTTTTATAATACCTCCTGCTCAAAACTTTTTCTATAGAGCAAAATCCAAATGAAGGTGATGTAATTGTACATTACAAAGTTTCATTTAGCAAGCCTGCTCTTCATCTTCTATATCTTATGTGGTCAAGACACTCCAGAATCTCATGTAAATGACTTCAATATATAACCAGTCTGCAGTACCACTATGCACTTAGCCCTTTGATTTTTAGAGGCAAGTGGAATGAAATCAAGTTTGATGAAAAAAAGCGATAGTAGCTTAATAAATAACTCAAATCATGGTTGCATAAGGCTGGCTCTGAGAAAAACTGTTTCAGCAGGAGAAAAATTTTGGTTCTTTCTACTCACACTACCCATATTTGTTTTCTTCCAAGTTTCTAAGTTCTTTCCATTTCTCTTTCCTGGCTGCAGTTACCCATCCATACCTGAATCTCCAGGAATACTGCTCCTCTTAGATCTATCAATAGTTAAGGATATTGGTCTTGCAATTATTCAGGGTCCAGTTTCTAATAAAGTCAATCAAGTGCACTCATTTATTATGTTAGCAAATAAACATACTATGTTAGCAAACTAACATACTGCAAAAAAATGATCAAACCAATAAATTAAGTGAATAATTGACTATGAAGTGAAGGCATTTCCTACTCAGTTTCCCTGGGTGGTGTGGAAATCTCATGGTGATTAAAGGTACCAGGCAGGTGTCTGTCTGGGCTCAACTCATAGTTTCAGTACCCATCAGCTGTGAGACTCTGGGAAGAGTTGCTGAATGTGCATTTTAGTCTCTTCATGTGCAGAAAGGGAATGCCATATATCTATTTTATAGGGTTGTTGAGACTGTTACATGATATAAGGCATAGATAACTAGTGACAGGGTATGGAACATAGTAAGTGCTCAATAAAGATTTATAACTGTTTTTGTTATTATTATTATTGCTGTTTTTAAGCTTTGGCTCTTCAAAGCTTTAACCCAAAGACATGAACAATACATGATTTGAGTCATAATAATAAGGCCTGTGACTGAACTCTTGAGGGGGTAAAGGGAGGATTTTTTATATGTGACTCCATTTTAACCACATAGGGGCTGTCTATTTCACACATATGTAGTCTAACTCTGCATAGCAAACACATACTAAACTTGAAGTTCTTAGAAGTAGAAACTGTCTTATTTATTTACCATAGTGTCCCTAGCAGCTAATACAATGTCTGGCATGTAGCTGGTGCTCAATAAATTCTGTTGAATAAGTAAATAACAGAAATATCCTGATGATAAAGTTTCTAAAATCAATACTGTTACCTGACACCACAACTATAAAAGCAGCCCAATATAATTAGAATATAATCACTAAAATTCTCACAGATGTTTTGTAATTTACTTTGAAATCTAAGACTAATTATTTTGCATATTTATTTGTTATTTTCAACTTTACTTAATAATGTCATTGCATGGTCCCCTCAATTCTCATCCTTAATATTTCAAAGCATGATGGTATTTAATCATATAACCCAGTAAATAGGTTATGTTTGCAATGGACTCTGCAAATCAGGATCTTTCTTTTTTTTTCCCATTACAGTTTTCTGGTAAAGTCTTGTTATTCTAAAAGATATGAGTTATTTGAAGAAAGGCAAAGAAGGCTTAGACTAACATCATGTATGGATTATATCATTATAAGGTTTTTGTTTCTTAAGAACATAATCATAAATATAGGATTTCAAAAACTAAATCAAGGACTCTTGTGTGTGGTGAGGTTGGGGTTTCTGATCAATTCCAATACTTTAAAAGAGCTAACAAAGAAAACTATCTTTTTTCTATTCTCTGACACCTAAAATTCTTTTAAGACAAGGACAAGAGTAAGTTATAAATATAAAAGCAAATGACTTCAATTGTTTCTTTCAAAAGAGGTTTTGATGGAGATGCAGAAAAATTATAGTTTCAGATACCAAGGGTATTGATCTAGGAATAAAAAGCAAGCACTCAGACAGGACTGAGGAAGTCAAAACAAAGAGGGCAAGAAAGAACCTATTTGTTAAATTGCATTTTGAGGTTGTAAAGAGGTTATTTCAAGTTTATATTTTGCTTGCATCTAATTAAAAGAAGCAATTGGAAAAAAATACTGCAAAGTTAAATATAGTCTTGATCCATTAGATTGACAATCAATCAGCAAACTTGAGGCTTGATAACCTGAGAGAGATTTAATAAGAATCAATTAAAAACAACTTGTTATAAAAATGGCAGCTGGAAAATTTCCCCTTAATCCAAAGAAATAATAAGAAACCAATATGGAAACCAAAGGTTGGAACTGCCTGGGTCCATTTGTACAGGAGAGATTAATGAATGATTTTTCTCTCTAGCAATGTAGACTTGTAATTAAGGTTGCTTTTATGAGTGTTTTTCTTTTATAAAAAAACTTGAAGCCAGGGACATGATTAGGTATAGCTATAGTTACATGCAAATGAATCCTATATTTGATTAGCAGGGGCAATATGTCAACAGAGTACATTTTCAATTCTGAGACAAGATGTACAAATCATGATACAAAATGATCATGATGCAAACAAATCGTGATTTCTAAATAATGCCAAATAAATTACATTTGTGTCAAAATTGCTAAGTGATATGAAATTCAGGTTTCTTTGAGAACCTTGGAAGTCTAGAGAGCTGGATTAATGTCAAGTGCTTACTGGTCTTTCATGCTGTAGAATTGACGACTTCCCAGGTTCATATTCAAAAATACTCCTTGGCTCGGAACGAAATTTTCTTGTGTCCACTTTTCTGTCTGGAGGATCCCAGTCATGCCTAGAAATAAACAACAAATTCCATGTTGAAATAATTCTCCATGCTCAAAGCAGCTGCATAAAACCAATCACTATCTGTTTTCAAAGTTAATTTTACTATAGATTAAAAAGAAATTCTCAGGATTAGAAAGTTAATCTGCAAACAATACCATATTTGTGTTCCATTGTATGTAGATGATTTAAAGAAAGCCATTTCTTTTATTTCTTATTATATTTTCCTCTATTTTTATCCCCCTACAATGACTCTCTTCCTGTTGGCTCAAATACTCACACAGGGGGTTTGTAATCATACAGCCAGTGACCTGCTAGTAAGTAAGCCCTTGGGTCACAGATGACAGTTGTGCAGGCTTGTGTTTGGACTAAGTGGCAGATTTGCTCCCATGAGCTAAGTGAGCTTATCCCAACCCTCTGTCACCAGGTATCCTTGATCCAAAGTGACAAGGAGTAATGCAAACACCATGTTTGATCTTGTTTATCTTACAAGTGGCATCATAGTTGGCCTGCGAAAAGCACGAAAGCATCACTTCGTTTGCCATCCAACGGAACAGCTGTATGCCTCTGAGTGCCTCCTTTAAAAGCCAGACTCACACCTATCTCATTGCATAGGAGATGTTGGCATAAGCTCCTTTCTATGAATTCTTTCAAGGGGCTGTGGAGGAGGGACTGAGAAAGTAAAGCTTTTCCAGGTACCTGGGGCTAAAGAACATTTCCTTCGAGAGGATCATTTTTGAGGAAGAAGGATTTTCTAACAATAGATGAAGGCAATTTTGACTCAATGGAATGACATGATGACTCTTTGGCACATCAGAAATTACAATGCTCTAAGAGATGAGAATTAGGGGCAAGTTCTGGTTTTCTGGTAAACTGATGGATGATATTTAACAGAGGAGTTTTGAGCACTGCATGAGACAAGATCTATAAAAACCATTTGGGAATGTTAAAGGCATTATCGTATTTCTTAATAATAAGAGATGTATTTTTACAAAATACATTGGACAAATAAGATATTTAAGTCGGAGTTAATTTTGTTTTTTATGGCAGAGATGTCACTTTGTGTCTAGACAATTATTTTGCAACTGTAAAGTATCATACTTTCTAATCATAGAATTCATCATGAGGGGATTGATATTAAAATGACACACGTGATATGTGCCTACTTCCATGGTATCTTGTATCCTCTATTGCATCAGATACTCTCAATGGAAATATGATATTTATGGGATGGGTATGATAGATATTAATAACTAGTATTAATACTGAATAATTTTATATCTTTATTAGTTGGTAGTTTAGTATGAGTTTTGGACTTACTAGCTGGATGAGTTGAGCCAGTTACTAAACCACAGCTTTCTTTCTCCCTAAATGAGTTTAAAATAGAATATATCTCATTGGGCTATTCTCAGAATTAAAATGATAGGATACAGAAAGTACTTAGTCTAGATTTGGCCTCATTAGTGAGCTTTATAAGTAGGCTCATTAGTCATAAGCCTAATAAAAATTAGTACAATAAAAGTATATTTGTAATTTTTAAATTTTCATGTAAATAGGTTATATAAAAATAATTCACTGGGGGAAATGAAACATATCTCAAAAAAAGTAAGTGGTTATGAATCATAGATAGACACTAACAAATACCTTATTTATGATTTATGAATAATCTTCTCTATTTTCAAAAAGACACTTTTGCATATCAGAGGGGAAATATTAATTATTAATAGATCTAACATCTAACATTTCAAATTGAAGGAATCTGAAAATTAATGACATAGTCTATGCCTTGTTATACCAAAGGGAGACCCTGTCAATTATTTTGAGTAACTTATCTTCTTCTATGAACTTATTTCTTAAAAAGTAGAGCTTGTGCCCCTGCAGCTTCAAGTCTAACTTAGATCATGACAAAATATGAACCATGAAAGTGCTTGCTCCTGTCTCAGGTGGGGAGGCCCATTTGGCTCACGTACTGACAATAAGCTTATGTAGAATCTCTCTCTGGGTAAGGGAAGCACTAATTCTTCTACTGACTGTCATGCAGACTTATTCTTATCCTAAAGGAAACAAAGGCAACTTTTGGGCAAAATGCCTTACTTTTCCGTTGAAGACCGATATCTGGGTTGAAGTGGAGGAACTGGAGGAGGAACATGTGGGGGCGGGACCGGGGAGGAGGCATCCTTAAAGACATCTGGGCCGTTGTCAGAGTGACTTTTGGACAGGGGTCTGTAGGTCTGGGTCTTCGCTGCAGGATGTGACTGAGCACTATAGGGTGAGTTGTATAGGCCTATCAAGAGGCAACATGACAAAGCAAAACAGAAGGAAGGAACATTTTAAAAGCGCAATAAATAGCCAGTGGTTATACCAAAATAAGCCTATTTTTGATGCATGCAAAAGATAGTCTGTTCTTTGAAATTTATTACCATTATCAATTTACTAATCATTAATATATTAATTCATTATTAATATATTCCATACACATGCATTGATTGCAGTAAATCTTCATCAATTATTTTGGAATTAGTAATAATTCAGACTGGTAGTAGGAATAAGCTTACAGGTACTCAGCATTATTCGCCTGGATAATATTAACTAATAACATAGTTATGGTTTCAGAGGAAGATTAAAAGTACTTAGCAGAACGGTTTCCAATTATGTCCTATTACTTTAATATCTCTGACTTACATTTGATTATTGACATGTAAATTGCAATCAAACAAAATATTGGGTAAGTTGTATATGTGCTATGCAAAACTAAGGAAACACACACCCTCACTAAACTTATCAGGCATCTGGGGAAATGACACAAGCAGAATTAGGATTGGAAATTATTTGCAACATATGATCAAGACCAAATGAGGAAAGCATATATTAGAAATTAAGAGATTTTGGAAGATGGTGATTGGTCAGGGAAGGTATGGAATAGATGGGGTTAGCGTGGACTGTGAAGGTTTAGTCTGGGAAAGAGAGTAGCACACACAGGTGACACAGGGAAAAGAAAGAGGCAGAAAGTGCATGACTTCAACTCCTGATGCAGGATTAGTAGAAGGGGAAAGGGCTAGTTGTAGTTACTTTGTCTACTGATTAAATGCTAAAACTCTCTAAAGGACTTTACAAGGTTATACGTAACAACTCTTCAAATTTACCGATGACTCATGGATACAAACTTCAATACTAAAAAATTATAAAATTCTGGATTGCCCACAACCCCAATCTTTTTGAATTAAATCTGTTTTCACTCATTGTTTCTCCTGAAGGTCCACACACATCACATGACAAAAAAGAGACAATGACTGCACTTCATGTCTTGCCTCAATTCTACAGACTTTGATCTTAGAGCTAAACACAGGCAGTGAGCTGGGGGTACCTACCACCAGGATTAAAAACACCTTAGTGGGCCTCCTGCTGTCATGTAGAGGAGTGAGGAAAACCAGAGGTCTTGCAACTTGCTTACTTGTTCTACTTGCTCCCTCCCCTCCCCAAACATTTATTTTTTGAGAAAGGTTAAAGTATCTCTGGCAGTTCAAGGGCCTAAGTGTTGGTCTTTTGGTGTCGGGATGGAGAGAAGCTCATGCGGTTCTGAGGAGAGGCTGGCAAGGGACCCCTAAGTGAGGCTGCAGCTGCTCAAGGGAAAGCGAGCAGTCTGAGTCTGGGGGAGCCTGCTCTAAAGAAAGAAAAAACTGACGCTGGGTCACAGTTCCGAGCCTGGGGCTGGGCAGTTAGCAGCCCCGCGTGGGACCCTCTGATGTGACACATAGGAGGAAACGATAATGGAAAGTTCTTTTTAGGGGGCCCTCACTCAGCCTGCAATGCACTCAAAAACACACCGAATTGCCCAGAATTGAAGTCATTCCATTATGATCATTAGCAACTGGGTCAGAAAAGAGGGACTTTAAAAACTCCAACAATGAATGGTGGTATTTTGGAGTGAAAGCATGGACAAGTCACAGAATTCATCATTTGACTTGGTTTTTTTTTTGTGTGTGTGAAGTGTCTGAAAGATCTTATGCAACTGTAATCAGTCTATTGATTAAAGGAGACCTTTATCATATTTTGTACCCCATGACAATATGTACTTTCACAGCTGTCCTTCGCTCTGGTTAAACATTCCTGAAGTGGGGAGCAAACTAACAGTGGGAATGAAGGAGATACAAGATTGTTAGTTCTCATTTCCAAGAGAAAAGCTCAATCCTTTCGTCATGCATGCCGGGAGAAAGGAAAAAGCATCCCCCTGAAAACATGTGCTCAGAGTGACAAAAAAGTGACCGCAAAGTTCTTCCAAGCATTACAGAGCATCCAATGGTCATTGCAAGCAAGGAAACCCATCCTACCTGCATTATAGGTATAAGGAGTATTATACATGTCTGTGTCATCATCTAGAAAATGAAACATAAATATTTTGGTAATACAGATTCAGTCACCATAACAAGGCACAACAAGACAGCAGAATTTGGAGAAACAACAGAAATTTGTTAGAAAACCAATGTTTTTGCCCTGTTCATAGTACTGTTTTTAAATTTCCAAATGTTACTTTTTTTCTGGACTTTGCGCTTTGCCCTCTCTTGTCTGCATCCTATTTGCTTTGTGGTTCTCTTCATAGCATATGAGGTCTGTCCCTTAGCCCTACTTCCCCAGGCAACTGTCTCTTCTGGATCATTAATTTATTTTTGTAGGTGCTTAAAAGATCTCCTTTCAACTCTGTGAGATCTACCTATGCCCACTTTTGATAAGGAGCAGTCATGTGTGGACAGAGGAATAATGGGTCTGAGTGAGCTGACAAAACGCCACACAGGGCCTCCCCGGTGGCGCAGCGGTTGAGCGCTGGGTTGCGAAGCTGCCCGCAGCCTCTGCAGCGCCGGTTCAATCCCCGGCTGCTCCCCGGCCACCGGAGGAGGGTCCCACATGGCGCGCAGACCTCTCCTGCCGCCCGCTGCTCCCCTCAGCAGTGTACTTCAGTCCTTCTGCCTGCTCTGCTCCCCGCTCTGGCTCTGGTGAATTCTCTCACCCTCCCACGCTTCTGACTGTACCCAGTGCATGTATAAACAAACAAATAAATAAATAAAACATGCCTCTATAAAAAAAAAAAAAAACGCCACACAGATTGTCAATAGCGGAGGCCAAGGGCACAAGACCACCGCACCTGGTGCTCCTCCAAGATCCCTCAAACAAGCTTCTCAGAACCTCAGAGGTGAGGCAGGAGTACAGGGTCTGTGATTTGAGGGGTAGTAAAAGGAGAAGAGGAGGAATATTGACAGGAAAGAGGGAAGGCTGTGAAGTTTGCCAAGGTCTTGACATTTTGTGTGAACAAAAACTGTATAAATGACAAGTGTACAATACATCCTTCAACCTACAAAGACTTGATTACAAAACGGAACATACTTACCAGGCTTGTGCACCATGTGAATTTGCTTAAACATTGTCTTATACCAGTCCTTCGGTCTGTCAACTGTCTATAAAAGAGAAGTTCCGATGGTTACAAAATTGGTTCCAAACATCACTCCTCTTTCTATGTTTTATCTTTTTTTTAAAAGATTTATTTATTTATACAAGAACTGGGGTACAGGCCAGAGGCGCAGGAGGGTGAAAGAATTCACCAGAGACAGAGCAGGGAACAGAACAGACAGATGACCGAAGACACTGCTGAGGGGAGTAGCTGAGGAGAGCAGCGGGAGACACAGGAGAGGTCTGCCGCACCATGTGTATATCTCCCTGACTGGCTGGGAATCAAACCCTGTGCTGCAGAGGCTGCAGACAGATTCACAGAGCTGCACTCAACCTGCTGCACCACCGGGGAGGCCCTGTTTTATCTTTTTAAATAGTGGATTTCTGTTCTGTGATACATTTTCTGATCTCTTATTATTCCATAATGACAGTATAGGTAATTTATTCAGTTTTCTATGTAGTTTATGAATATATTACCCCTTATTTGAGTGAAGACTGAATTGGTACGTTAAGAGTAGTGATTTCATTTTTACCAAATCATACTTGTGTCTAGCACTAGGTACCTGCTATTTATGCAAACATATTTATATAAAATTCACAGAGTAAGATGAATAGTGTTGCAATAGTTTAGGTTAACTCATTTAGATGCCAATTATCATTCTCCTAAAAAAAATTTTAGTGAGTGTTTTATTCAGGACATTATTTTTAGAATTAACTAGGGAATATTTTTGACTCAAACTGTATTCTGATCAGCTTAGACTTAGGGAAATAGAAATTTGATATTTACTAGTCTATATGAGAATACTGGATGTAGTAGACAATCCAGAGTCTTAGAGGATATCAAAATATGGATATTGTTTAAAAATTTAGCATAATAAAATATGTAACATTTGCTTTGCCAAATTGTAAGTTTCTTGAGAGCATAAGTTCCTTGTTTATGTTGCTGAGGCTTTTGACATGATCGAAATAGTGGGTTTAGTGGAAAGTTTAAATTAATGTCATATCAACCCAGGCTCAAATCTTTGTTCCTTTAACTGCTGTTAATAATTCCTACCAATAAGAATTTGGGAAGGTTACAGGTAACCTTTTAGAACTGCAGTTTCCTCCTCTTTAAAATGAAATAATGATATCTATATTATAAGATATTATGGAAATAGATTTGAGGCAATATATACAGAAAGGCTGAAAACTGAGCAGAATATAAACATTTCCCAATAAATAATAATAGCATGGAATGACAAGTATTTATAGAATGATTAAATTTGGGTTTATTTGGATAGAACCCCATCTTATTGCATATCTATAAAACACTATTGTATACTTGTGAATGTAGACATACACTTTTATAATAATAACTAAAGATTTTGCTGGGCAAGATCTTTACCTCAACATTTCCAAGCTACTCAGGCAAGAAATTTGACCATTCTGTGCACAGTAACTAAATATACCAGATTTTCTGAGGCAGTTCTCTTGAGATAAAATATAAAAAATATTAGGACTGCCACAAAAATAGTATTGAGCTTGTGAGACTGCACTTTGGTTTAAATTCACATCCTAACCTTTCTCTCAGAAATATGGTCCTTGCATGTTTCATTTGGAATTTGTTTTGTGCTATATCTAAATTTACTTTGATTTCTAAGAATATATGATTGTGGTAATCATGACAGATATAGACTAACCATTAAGGGTTACTTGACTGTTGCAAATCATCTCTTCATTCTTTCTAGGCTCTTTGTTCAATGAAAAAATTGAGGGGCTTGCTAATTTGCATTATATTTAAACAGTGGGAGCTGGTGGGAACCGGGCCACAATGAAGGAGCAGAGCTATTATTTATTGGTGCAGCAAAGTAGTTGGATGTGGATCTTTAGGACACATTTGTTTTCATAAATGACTGATTTCTCTTTTTTAGTCTTATTTTCTTTACAGCATTCAGCAGGAGAAAATAAGATGTCACTTTATGCAAAAATGTTTTTCAACCATACCTGGATACAACCAATGACAACAAGGAAGCCGAATAAGTTACTTATATCACTGTATATGGCAATGTAACTTGACAGACAGGGTTTCTTTTCTTCACTTGCTGGAGGGCATATATTGGGCGGGTTTCAGTTGAGCCATCTGCTAGCTTTATATGGTGAGCCCAGAGATGCCAGAAATGCCCCGTTGGTTGGCAAAGGGGAATATGAAACTGGTAAGAGAGAATACTAAAACTCTCAGTCCCTTTCTAAAAGAAGTACGCTCAGCGTTTAAAGTTCCCTTTATAAATGTCATCAAGGAGATTGTTATGGCTAATACTGAGATTAAGTAAATCAAAGGCTACTCAAATGCGAGGAAATTTGCTTTTATACACATTCTTCAAAATAAACTTGCACGGACACTAACTACCAGCTATTGCTTAGCTATTTTCTATAACCTTGATGAAAGGCACCTGAATTTTCACCTTCCTACAATTTACAAAACACCAGAGCTCTGTTGATTTAACATGCAGAGGTCCCCCAAAAGGAAAAGATTCATAATCTCTATGCACCAGTTCTTTGTTCTTGTCGATTTGCAACTTCGGAAATCCTTAATGGTGTCATGTTTGAACTGGGAGAAAAGAATCTTGTATTTCACTTAACTAGCTGGCCCTAATTACACAATTTCATGGGATGGGAACCCTAGCGATGATTGTCATTGTGGTTAAGAGTGGCAGTGAGCTCCCTTCAGCAGTGTATTTCAGTAGATCTGCCTGTTCTGTGCCCCACTCTGTCTCTGGTGAATCCTCTCCCACCCCTGCACCTCTGGCCTACACCCCAGTTCTTGTACACATAAATAAGTAAAAATCTTTTTTTTATTAGAATAGAATGTCAACGAAAGGATAATACAGACATCCCAGGTCACATGAGAGATAGCAGACAGTGGAACAGCTGCTGTTCCTTCAGATAACTCAAAGGAACATTTTTTGACTCTTGGCTTTCTAGAGTTTCCAGGCTACTTTACAAAATTCTGCTTCCTTCGCATAAGCTGCTTGTCTAAAATGGTACTGCAGCACGGGACGTGGAGGTGGTGCTGCCTTTGGAGGATACACTGAGCAGAAAGCCGGGTGGAGCAATTTGAATCCAATCATCTTTATTTTCCAGACAAATGAGGAAGAAAAATAACCTTGGAAACTCTTGGCCTGCTGCGACTCAGAGACAGCCTGACTCAACATTTATAAACACAACTATACTTGGGGATGTGCTCTGCAAGGCTGAAAAATAGGAGATGGAGTAAGAGAGGAGTCTTTCCAGACCTTTGCAGAGTTCACCTTCTTTGTAAAGTTTTAAAAGTCTAAATAAGAGTATGGTTGTGCATAAAAATGATGGTTCCTTTTAAGGAACTTCTGGGTTGCTTATATTTTATAGAAGGGAAACTGATATTGAATATTTAATATATGTGCTTGATAGGCATATCTTAATATATTTTTTATTTGGAAGTAAACAACGTAAACATTTTAATATTACTTTAGCTTTAACCACACTTATTTCAGTTTTCTTCTTTGAAAAACTAACCAGTAAGGTCATCGATAATCAAGAAAATGTTGTCTTATGGATTTAAAAAATGAACCAGCTTTACTTGTTCATTTTTTATAGATCATTTATTGACTTAAAAACCCACCCAGAGGTCTCAGATAAAATTTCAGACATAATCTGTACATAAAAGCAGGGTTTTTCTGATTTGCAAATGTACATGCCTCAAAAGCTCAATTAAAACCAACGACACCATTTTGTCTGACACTGTGTCCCTACATTATTAGGAAAGAATCTCATTTAATCATTTGAGTCAGAAACTTAAAAATGAAACAAACGACAAAACACCATCCCCAGAACATAAAATGTTGTAAGATTAAGAACATGAGTCACAATCCCTGAACTTCTCTTGTCACTTAAATATGACAACAGAGATTTTGAGGACTTTATCACTAGTCACATTCATCATTCCCAGAATGTAATTAGTCAAAAACACCAGGGACTACTATCCAGCTTTGCTTTTGAGTACAGATTCCTGGAATATTTGATTTTAAATATTCTCTCTATTCATGGAACACATCCACCCCATTAATAAATGCAAATTCCAAGAGGGCAGGAAACCCCCATAATTAGCCTTTAGGTCATTTTCAGGGTTTCCAATCTGACCACGGCTTTTTGTTCTGCTCTCTTCCCCAGTTCTTTTCCTCTGGCCACTATTGTCTTGGTGTGCCCCCTTCCCCCACTTCTGAATTTCAGGGAAGCAGCTCTTGGCAACATCCCAGCCAATACCCAGTGGGTGTCACAGGCAAAGTGTGAGCAGCCAGAGCCCTACGCCTGCACCACCCCTCCCCCAGGTCACCTGCAAAGGTGCTGCGGCTCTCATGCTGTCCCTCAGTCTTCCTCAGCCTCCCGTGGCCAGCACAGACCTTCTCTTCAAGTGGACTTGGTCACAAGCAGCTGCCTGCCCAAGCTCCCTCTGCTACCGGAGCCTTGCCAGAAGGGGCTGCCCTGACGCACTGAGCTATGGCTTGGCAGAGCTTAAAGACTAAAAAAAAATCCAGACACTTTCACTTGTCATCCCAGAGAGCTCTCAGCAGGCACAGCTGAAGAGGGACACCTCGACTGTGTGTTTTCCCTCGGTTTTGCCTTTCCATGACATTAACTGCCTCACTTCCATCATCTCCCCTCCCAGCCCTGAATTCACAGCTCCCCTCGCCAGGCGTTAATGCACATCCATTTCAAGAAACACACCACTGGGTTATTTGCAATGCACGTGGGAATTCAAGGCAGCTAAAGAATCCACATTTTCTCCTTCCTTCACTTTGCTCCTATGGCCCTAATGCTCCTGGAAAAAAGGTAAAAATAATGACACCATACAAAACAGACTTTTCTTAAAAAGAAAATGGGAAAATATCGTGTCATTATCTTCAGTCGACAGTTCCCTTTCTCTGCCACACACAGCACAATATTCATGAGGACTCCGATGGCACGGAGGGCAAGCCTCATTATATAAGACCCTAGGAATGCACAAAGCCATTGACAATTCAGCCTTTGTAGAGTCTGCACCGCCCCCCTCCCCCAGTGCCTGTGCTGGTATTTCTTTTCTTTTTTATTTTCCTGTTGCGTTTTGCTCTTTTCTTTTTTTTTTTAATAAATTGCTAATTTCCTTTTTATTTTTAAAATAATATTAATTTTTAAAATTTTTTTACATTTGTTCATTTTTAAACAATATTTGCTTCCCCCACGCCCTCAGGTGGAGTCCCCATGGAGTTTCCTTCCCCAATGCACCTGTGCACCATCACCTCAGTCCCCTGTGCTCCTCCCTCCCTCCCTCTGATCCCTCTCCCGCCTCCTCCCCTACAGGATGTCTCTGATTTATAATTGTCCGTTTTTGCTTTGTTGTGTTTTGTGCTGTTACTATTTTTTTTACACTGATGTCTTATTTGGTTCCCCTATATTTCTGCTATAAGTGAAGGCATCTGATATTTTTCTTTTTCCTTCTGGCTTAATTCACTGAGCATAATTCCTTCTAGTTCCATCCATATTGCTGTGAATGGCATGAGTTTATCTTTTTTGATTGCTGAATAATATTCCATTGTGTATGTATACCATGTCTTCTTGATCCAGTCATCTATTTTTGGGCATTTGGGTTGTTTCCAGGTTTTATCTATTGTAAATAGTGCTGCAATAAACATAGGTGTACAGGTGTTCTTTTGAATCAATGTTTTTGTGTCCTTTGGGTAGATCCCTAGTAGACGTACAAAAACAAAATAAACAATCCAGTCAAGAAATGGGCAGAAGAACTCAAAAGACATTTCTCCAAAGAGGAAATGCAAATGGCCAACAGGCATATGAAAAAATGTTCAACATCCCTTATCATCAGGGAAATGCAAATCAAAACCACATTGAGATACCATCTTACACCAGTGAGAATGGCACATATCAAACAAGCAAAAGCAAATGTTGGTGAGGATGTGGAGAAAAAGGAACTCTCCTACATTGCTGGGGGGAGTGCAAACTGATGATCCAACCACTGTGGAAAGCTGTGTGGAGATTCCTCAGTCTACTAAAAATGGAGCTACCATACAACCCGGCAATTCCACCCCTAGGGATCTACCTTGCTGGTATTTCTTACCGTTCTAATGGCCGTGGGGATTCCAGATTCATCAACAGGCCCAATCCCTGGGTAATGTGGGGCTTTGATGACCGTCACTCTCTTCTCTTCCTCTGACGATCTGTACAGTGGTATTGAGCTGTCCAGGGACTGCACATGCTGAGGATATGTCTCTGTGGAGTCTATGGAGAAAAGTGTGGTGCAAAAGGCTTTATTTGATGCAGAAGTAATTATAAATGAATGGTGATTCTATTTATGCAACATAAAGCTATTTCCAGCACTATCTCTTTTACTCTTTACCTTAACTTTGAGTCACCCATTTTTACATGTACATTGAAAAGACACAAAAGTCCTCAACATTTTATGAAGAAAGGTGAGGGGAAGAAGAAATTTGTTGAACCTTGGGCCCTTGGACCTGAGGCAGCCACTATGTTGAGAAAACATTGTGCACACATTACCTCATCTTACCCTTCTGGTAATTGTGGGGTGGGGAAGATTCTATTTGTGGTTGAGGGGGCAGAAACTAAGACAAGTTTAGCAAACTTCTCTCATATCACAGCTTACATGATATTACATTTTTCCATATATGACATTAACATTACTTTAATTTTTATATTTACTATTATAAAATAAATTACATGCATATTATTTTTATATTTATATTAGGACAATAGATAGGACTATTGATATGATAGAGATTTCATAAAAATAAAGTTAAAGTGAAAATCACATTGAAAATATTCACATGCAGACATATGGATATTCACAAATTCACATGCAGGCTTATGGATAAATAAGTGGTTGCAAATTGTTAGCATTGGTTTTTATTTAAGCAGCCATGATGATGGTAACAGCTTTGCTTTTACTTTATCGTAACAAAACCCACAACATCCCACCTCTTAAGTGTAAAAATTGCCCTAATCAATATAGATTAGATGAGATTTCTTAGGTTCCTAGCTCCATGCCATCTGTATTAACTTTTAGCATAATTTCATCAGAAACAGAGATCACACATGTACTATATATTCCACAATTAATTCACAGATAGTTAAGAAAATAAACATTATCATTCATCTGGTACAACTGAAAATATGTCTTCCTATTTTTCTCCAATCAGCTTTGAAATATCAATGACCAAGAATGATTCTTTGCCATGGCTTGTCAGATGAGTCATTAGTAAATTCTCTTTTTATGTGGCTATGGGAGAATCCTGATATTTGAGGGTAGTATTGATTGATTATACTCCCTTCCCCTACAAATGATATAAATCTCAAAATAAATGACTATGCTTATAGAAAATTTATATAAACCTTTACAAATAAAATTTTAGAATACTGAATTCATTATAAGGTAAGAGATAAGATCTCTGTAAGCTAGTATCTTATAAGCTTTATAACTGCTGTTACTATTATATTTTTTATTTTCAAATTTGCTCATATCACAGTAGAAAAGCACTTTAAATCCAATGAAGAATGGAAAAGATAGGAATAAAACTGCTTTATATGCTATTCTTTGTAAAAGAAGCAGCTTTTTTAAAGCAACAGAAAATTAAGAAACAATGTGATATTAGACTATAGTTTTCCATTTAATTTCAAAAAATGGGCACCATGACCCTAATATTTCTTTCAAACAACAAATATCTTTGAGCACCTAGTAGGTGCAAAGTGTCAGTCCAAGTAACAGTAGCAACTCTGTCTTCACACCTTGCTCATAAGATACTACAAAGATACTACTGAGAGCTCACATAAAACAGTTTAGCCTTTTCCTTTATTATCCTCTTATATGGTTTGTAGCTCTCATTTTTTGCAGTCTTTTGTCTTCAACTAAACATCAAGTTTCTCCAGGGTGGAACAGATTTATACATTCTCAGGACTTACCTCAGCATTAGCCAAATGGAATTTGTTCAATATTTATATAGGGAATTTCATTCTATGTAGTACAGTTTATATGTAAAATCTACCTATTGATAACTTTTAATGTAAAAAGTCTGTCTAAACTCAAGCATTTATCTGCTTTGTTTGGTAGGGTGGGAGGGAGAAATGTGTTCATGATGACAGGCAATATGGACAGGGAGTCAGAATTTGATAATTATTTGGGAAAATGTTATGGCTAGAATAATTTCTAGATCATTTATAATATTACTAGAATCATTTATTATAAATGTGTGATCCTGCATAGCTCCACACAAAATGTAGATATAATACACTCCCATTACACTACTTTACTGTAGACTGTTTGTGTAAGGGTGACACTTTGGCACAAGGAAGTTCTACTCCCTTCTACTCAAAAGGACAGCACTGTAAGATTCATAGATGATCCCCAGAGCAGCATTAGAGAAGACAAAAGTATATTTAGATTTTTCTTTAATGAGTCTCCTGGCTACATTTAAGTCATCTAGTTATAGAGGTTTGTTTGACCAGACACGGTGGTTTCACAATGTACATGCGGGAAGTGGGCATAAGATGTTCCTGGGTAAATTAATGGCATCCTGCTCTTTCAATACAAAGTGGTGTTTGGAAGAGGTGCTGCCTGGTGTCAGAGGATAACAGGAGATAAAATCCTACATTCCGGTTTCTTTCTCTGTGGGTGGGTGGGGTAGCCAGAGGAGTCGTCCTCTCCTGCCCTCCTGAGAGCTGTGCTGTGGTCGGCCTTGCTCTTTGGCGGTGCTTGTTTCTCACTGTCCTGAAAACTTTTAGTTGCTCACTATCAGGGAAACTTTTTCAGTTGAAATTCACATGATAGGTTGATTTGTTGTTTTGCTAATATTTTGTGTTTTTCTTTTACATTTTTTAAAACTAAGAAATATTCATTATATTATTTGCTAAACTGTCCTAATGCATTGTGCCACATAAAAATGCTCCTATTATGAGCCTCCCTGGTGGCACAGGGGTTAAGTCTCAGTGCTATCAAGCTATAGCCAACCACCGTGGCACAAGTTCGATCCCCAGACAGGGAGATAACCCACATGGTTCAGCAGACCTCTTCTGTCTTGCCTGCTGCTCCCCTGAGCAATGTATTTCAGTAGATCTGCCTGTTCTGCTCCCCTCTCTATCTCTGGTGAATCCTCTCACCCCACACCCCACACCTCTGGGCTACACCTCAGTTCTTATATGTGTAAATAAATAAAATACATTTAATTTTTTTTCTATAATTATGTAGCTCAGCCTCTTACCAGGAGGCTTCAAAGAGTGCATGAGCCCCGTGAAAGTTGTTGCTGAAAATTTTTTTTATGACTGCTCAAATTTTCATTATTTTTTGTTCTGGAGGTGAGTTACAGCTTTCTTCTAATTGTTAATTTCCAAAGGATTAAGAACTCTATAAGACTATGGAACTGTCCATTAAAGGAACGCACATCCCTAGCTGAGGGTCTTATAGCCTTAGTTTGAATAGTAGTTAACTACTTTGGGAAGCAAAAGTTTTATTATTTACTACTTAGTGATGCAATGCCTCCTCTGGTTAGGCTGCCTCAATGGCTAAAACAGTTCCTTATATCAAAAGAATTTTCTGCAATGAAACTCTTCAATCAAAGAAGGGGCTGTCCTGAACATGGTGGCATTGATGGAAATGCACCATGTGAATATCCTGGTGGTGAGAACACTCCACTGACCCACTAGCCATCTTCTCTCTCTTCCTACCCCACCTCCTCCATCACCTAACCTTTCCAGACTCAGCTGCAGAAGCACTCATCATCTTTCATCTTTGATAACTGGGTGCCTATTGTCTCCCCTACCCCGAACTGCTCCTCTAGGATAAGGTCATTAATAGTAATATGTTAATGTTCCTGCATCCTCTTTTTTTTTTTTTTTAGAAAATTACTTTGATACTTAATATTTTGCTCAGTGGCTCAGACCTGCAATATTGAAACTGCCATGAAATGACTATCAAATGACTTACCAAGTGACCGGCCATGATGCATGGTAAGGCTGGAATTGAATGAACCCGGTAGAGAGTAAGCGGATGGGGAAAACGGCCTTTGATAGTAACTCATTGGACTCACAGCAACTCCAGAGTTTCCATTCACTGTTATCTGGCTCTGAGAGAAGTGCAAAGACATCCAGTTATATCTTGGAGTCCCTGGTGAGCACCATTCCTTCATGTGACAGCAAAAGACTTCTGTTCACATGACAGTAATGAACTGTCAAATTCCTTTTTACTTTGCAAACTAATGTCTGCAAGGACAGGGCACATTATTCCCCCCAGTGTCTTCTCTATCTCCTTTTATTTCTAAAGATCATTTCCCCAAATGTCAGAGGGCACAGGAGGTGAGTAGGAAGAATGGAAGCAGCTGACCTGTGGGCACACCCCTCTGCCAGAGGAGATGCCCAAAGGTATCAGGAGGAGTCAGTATAAATAAATTTTCTCTTAAAACCATGGCTTAAGTGGACAGAGCACTGTCACACTACTCTGCACATGAGCTTCAAAATGATGGTCTGTGACCTGAGGAAAGGGATTGGTTCTTAGCCTTAGATGGGGATATCCTTGAGCGTTTCCAGGGAAAGGTGACTCATGCAAGGAACACAATTGTTGGGATTTTCACGTCACAAAGCAATCTATTCTTGGAGAATGAATACCTGGCAAAGCATTCCAAGATATGTGAAACCACTGGCTTCTCCCTATTCCAATCTCATTTAGCACGCCCAGCCTCTGTTTGGTTTTTTAATATTGTTTTTGATTGACTTATATCTGAGTGTCTTATACCCTCCCCCATAGTATTTCATGCTTCTTATTGGAGATGTTCATATATATACTTTTTCAATATATATATCGTTTGTAACATAGCAACCTGGTACTAATAACATAGTAGATATTCGATAGATACATATTCTAATTGAATTGAATCAGCTTAGCTCAAAAATTGAGCTCACCACTATTAAGCAAGCTTATCTCTCCAAAACACAGCCCTGAGAATTGTAGAGATTACATATTACATGCAAATGAGACAAAACATTAGTAAGAGCACTCAGTTAAAAGGATTGTGCAGATGCATATACACAAACACACGTATGTAAAGAACTATATTGTGAGCTTTCTCTAAATTTAAATTAAAAATCTATTTAGCAAAGTTGAAACACAGATGGAAAATTAACTTCATATTTCTGTAATTTTTCACTTTAAAGTAGTTGTTTTTAAATGGCCTAGAATAAAAATAATTTCATTACTTTATAGCCTAAAGTCAACAAACATTTCATTACAGTGACTGTGCTTTATTGATTAAGTACTTTTCTAGTTGTTACAGAAATCACTCTTATGTCTTAAGCAGCTGTATCTTGAGGTCTTCTCTCTGAAGAGAACAGGACATTCAAATAAATGTAAGGCTCTGGCCTACACAAATGTTTCAGAGTCTTTATGTGCCTTTGATGGGTTATTTGAGAATATTTTTGCAGCCTTAAACAAGTTAAGTTTGGTTGAACTTTGTAAATATAATTTTAATATTGTTGTTATAACATGTTAAAAGCAGGAAAAGTCACATTAAAAGCCATCACATTACTAGTTCACTAAACTTAGGAAAGTTGCCCTGAATCCAATTTTGATCATTGCCATAATATTGATTAGGGATTAAAAAAAGAAATACTGTAAATAGAATTCATCATGTTAAGACAATTTGAAATTTACTAATAAAATAATATCATGAAACACCTATGTGAAACTCAAGCTGCTCTTTGATTTTAATTTCAGTTACATATAGCTCCAGTTATGCCTACAGCTATATGTATATCTCTCAGGCTACTGGAGAGTCTTAAAAATGGAAAGACAAATAGTTTAGTACATAAATTCATACAGCATCCCCTTTTTGTATTTCTGATTAAGGGTCTTAACATTTGTTAAAATTCTGTGCTGGCTGAGTTCCTGGCACCAGAGGTAGGGGAGGGAATCTGGGTGATGGTAACCTCGGAAAGCGAGACTCTTTGTGTAGCCAGTCACTAAATGGAACATCTCAGGGCAAAGTTTTATACCCATCCATTGAATGAATACCAAAACCTGTCAAAAGTACCATTAAGCATATAATGAAGATACTAAAAAACATCTTTTTTCTCCCGTAACTGCAGTATCTTGGAAAACACATGGCTTATACTATTTTCCCTTTTGTGAAATTTGCAGATTTATACAGTGGTACACTATAAAAACTATGCAGCAAACAAAAATTTTACCTAGGAATTCCATTATAAAATCAATCAGAAGAATTTTTTTAATTTCATTAGGAAATCAATTTTAGAAAAAATTACCCATGATTTACCTAAAGTTATGTGTTTTTCACATTGAAGCCACTGTCTATCTATTATATGCAACTGAAAAATCTGTGCTGTAAAATTTGGAAGCATGTTAGCCATTCATAAATCATTTATTAGGGACAGCTCATCATATAGACATATTTAAATGATATAATATACATGGGGAATTTTTATGTATTGCTCTACATGCAAAATAAACTATTCACATATACAATAATAACATGTTCAAAAATTTCTACACTGGAATGACAAAAAAATCACAGGGCTAAATTCCTATAATGTAGATTAAGATTGTTTACATCCTTCACTCCTATTAAGACAGATGAGTTAAACAGTTAGTGACAGGAGAGCAAGAAGTAGCATTATGCTGTTAGTATTCACACATGTGAGAAACGAGGCTGTATTAACTATTCACACAGGACATATGACTCTCTAAGGCAGTGTTACCTACCAGGATTTAATACTAGGTTAAAATTTTTGAACAGTTTTAGATTTTCCATCCTATCTAATCATCATAATATACATGTGCATATCTATTATCTATATTTCTGAGATACCCTATTAAGGCAAGCCCACAATACAGTGTAACTGTAACTGTCTCTAAAATGAATGAGGAGAATTAATTTTCAGTCCCAAGTAGGCATTTGAGGATGACTGTAATGGATTTCCTTGATGGGCAACATAGAATCAGTTTACTAATCAACACCTAGGCGAATAAAATGCCCTGCAACAAAATAAGATGGCAGATGAGGAATCAGTCCTCTTGGTCTTTGGAGATCTGTTTAAAAAATGATGGAGACAAAGGAAGAATAATTACATGCATGGCAGCAGGGGTGATTAAGGTGGTGCCATCTGTCACAGCAGACCCCTGATCTAAGGTGGGGGAAGGTGTTTCAGAGCGGTCAGCGGTGTCAGAGTCAGCCATCTGCAACTCATCTGGGAGGGCTGGGGAGGACATGCTTGAGGAGGAGCAGGAGGACTGCTTGCCCTGAGAGGAGTCTGTAGTGAGAGCGCCTGTGGTGGTGCCCTCGATAAGGCACTTGGGAGCGAGGAGAGGGGGTTTATATACACAGAGGGAAGGGGGCAGGAGTCTGTGCGGGTGTGAAGGCCACAAGTCAGCAGGTGGAGGTAGGGACAGTGATGCTGGGCTGGAGCCACCATCTGGTGAAAAAGTGGTTCGACTAAAAGGTACCACAGAAGGAAGGCACGAAGAAGAGGCTTCTGCTGTGGTTTGACTGTGTGTCTGTGAAGCATTTACCTCCGGCACATTGGCAGTTAAGTTCTGGTTTCCAAGCTGAGTTTGAGGAGAAAATAAGAAGAGAATGTAAATGATTCAATTAATAAAACAGCTCTTGTTGCAATGTGGCAGAGAAAGCAAAGCACCAGTTTTATTTGCAAGCACTTTAAGGAAATGCATTGAGAAGGTGAAGTGCCAAACACACAGAAAAAGCATGAAAACATGAAGAAAATGAATGCAGTAAGTGTATTTGGGGGGAAAAAAAACAGTTTTCACACAGTACTGTGTTGTAATTTTGGTTGAGGCTTGAGAGCACCAGCATAACGAAGACTTTCCCTCTGAAGTTTTAGTTTTCGTACTTGTGGCAGTGAAAAGATATCAGGTTGTCTGATATCGCACATCAGAATTAGTTTCCCTTTTCTAGAAAAATCTTGTAGTATAATTCTCCTTACTGTCTAGCTCCAGAAAATATTCCAAAAATATAAATTAGTTTGCCTCATTTTTTTTTTTTATGACTCATGAATCTAAGGATTCATGAGTAAATCTAAGGATTCTGGGTAAAAGAAAAGACAACTAAGTGGAAATGGAATTTTTTTGCCTTTATGCTCACTGAATCTGTTCTTTGAGTTCATTACAAAATACTGAAAGAATTGCATTTGAAAATAGCCTAGCAGTGTAATAGTGTGAAAAGGAAGTGAAAAGGAAAACCAGCCACTGATGATAGTGAGAATGTACCCTAGCTGGTTAGAACTACTATAGGCTTTAAATCTTAGGAGAAAGGAGAAAGAAACTGAAAGAGAAAGGAAAGGTTTAATACCTCCAAGGCTGTATAACCCACAGAGGAAACAAAAGGAGAATGGAACGATCTCATACCTCCATTCAAGACATGGTGGGGGGGTGTCTGTATAGGAGGAGAGTGGAGGGCTCGCTAAAGGTTTCATAGCTATTGGTGCTAATGTTGACGATTTCTTCACACATGTCAGAGAAGATGATGATGTGTCAACCTTGACAGAATGGACACAACTTGGAAGCAAATTTTTTCTCCCTCCCCCCACTTTCAGAATAGAAGGTTCCTTTTCAGTGTTTGGTTTAGCGCCAGTTGTAAGAGAGATAGACTATTAATACAAGGGTGGGGAATAAATTAAAGCAAACTATATAAACTTAAAAAATCTAGCCTAGTAAAGATTTAAGTGGTACCATTTGGTGTTGTAGGCCAATCAATATTTTCATAGCATTTGATGTCATGCTGGCTATTGATCTCATAAAAAAATAATAATCTTTTCTCTCAGGCTTTTAACTGAGTAATTAAAAAATCCACCATGTAAAAAAGGATCTCTAGGTCACATATATCTTTAAAATTTGATGAAAGTTATTGATCCTACCCTTAAGAAAAATGTAAAATTCATATATACATAAAATTCTGCATAAACTTTAGGGGTTCATAGATACACTAACTATATCCTTAATCTAATAGGTTAAGAAACCCCAACCCTGGGTAAAAGGACAAATTTTCTTACTTTATTTCTATAAATAAGCTTTATTGTTGTTGCTTAAACATATCCATTTTAAATGATACATTTTTTATTGTATATGGTTTTAAGATTTCTAAATAATTGCCTGAAATCTTAGTTACCCAGAGCTTAAAATGTTTTAATAGGAACATATCCTTTTTAATAGCAATTTTTTATAATGTAGATTTTATTCTAAGTAAAGCTATAATATTATGAAAGTATAATAATTACAACTTACAGTGTTAGAATTTTGTTTTAAGTCTGAATGGAATTCATTCTAATGCAGTCTTGGATTGGTAATGTAAATGGAATTTCTCGTAATAATGCAGATTCACTCAGAAAGTTTCTATATAACACAAATCTTCTTTAAGTTTTGCTTATGCTAAGTGAAAATTCAGTTTAATAATTTATATATATATTATGCAAAAGGACTTCCATTCTCTGCTCAAAGGAATCTTTTTGTTCTTTATATTTAAGAATCTGACTGGGAGGAGGGGGCGGAGCAACATGGCGGCGAGGAGACGCTGCGAGTAAGATCTCCCATTAAAAAAAGTGAATAGGGAGGAAAAGCGGCAGGTCCCAGTGAGAACTGGGACACGGAAGATAAACGGGTGACGCCAGCAAACTGCCCGAAGAAGAAAGTGGCCATAAAAGAGGACCAGAAGGGAGGGAAGCACAGAACCCTGCTCCCCTCCCCCGCCCACAGAGGCAGCACTCTCCGACCGGCAGAGAGGAGGAAACAACAAACCAAAACGGCCAACAAGAAAAACGGACGCAGCAAGCGGGACTGTGAGTGGAAAGGAACTATTTCAGCCACCACACCCCGTGAACGGGAGCTGTGGAGAACCCTGCAGGATTCGCCGCGGCGGTGAGCGAACGGCTCCGGGCGCCATTAGAGAAGAACAAAGACCCCGGGAGACGCGCACACAGCCCGGGCTGCCGATGACTCCAGGAGGAACCAGAGGGGAGAAGAGAAGCCCACCCAAGATGCCGGCCAGTCCCAACAACACAGTGTCCCAACGCATACGGCAAATTAGAAAACAGACAGTAGGGAGGAGAAGAACCACACGCAACCTAGCAACTCTCCAGAGAAAAAGCACACCACAAAAAAAAACCAGCCCCCAGATGGCAACGACAGTAACTTGGAAGAACTTCTGAGCCTTCCAGAAAGAGAATTTAAAATTGCCGTGATTAAAAAACTGACAGAAGTCATAAAGGAAAACAATGATAAGGGAAAAATAATCAACGATCAGAAGAATGAAATTGAGTCCCTAAAGAGGGAAGTAAAAGAAATGCAGGAGATCAAAGAATTAGTGGAAGAACTAAAGAATTCTGGGAAAAGCAATGAAAGCAGAATTGATGAAATGGAAGAACGAATAAGTGCTCTTGAAGACACAGAAATAAAAAGAACCAAAACAGAAAAGGAAAGAGAAGTACGAAGGAAAAAGAATGAAGAAAGACTTCGGGAACTATCTGACTCCATGAGGAAAGGAAATATAAGAGTTATAGGAATACCAGAAGGAGAGAGAGAGAAGTAGGAACAGAGAAAATATTCAAAGAGATAATTGAAGAGAACTTCCCAAATGTGAAGAAGGAGCTGAAAATTGATATACAAGAAGCAAGAAGAACACCAAACTTCCACGACGAAAGGAAAAATACAGCAAGACACATAATAGTAAAGCTCCCAAGAATCCAGGACAAGGAAAAAATAATGAAGCTGGCAAGAGGGAAGAAACAGATAACATTCAAAGGAAAGCCAATCAGGCTGACATCAGACTTCTCCGAAGAAACACTACGGGCAAGGAGAGAGTGGAGGGACATAGTCAACAGACTCCAAGAAAACAGATGCCACCAAGAATACTCTATCCCGCAAAGCTCTCCTTCCTCTTTGAAGAAAGAATATGGACCTTCCCAGACAAACAGAAACTCCGGAATTTCATTGCAACTAACCCCCACTCCAAAAAATACTACAAGGAGTCCTAAAGCACGAACCTCAGAGGGACGAATAACAATGAAAGAAGGCAAAAAAAAAAAAAAAGCTATTAAAAGAATAAATAAATAAAATCAAAGGAAAGACAAACACAATGGCAAATACAGATGTTTAAACAATATCAATATTACTCCTAAATGTAAATGGACTAAACTCTTCAACTAAAAAAGACACAGAGTTGCAGCCTGGATTAAGAAACAAAACC